AGATTAGCCACCGTCAACAACAACAACAAGAGTAGGGGTGTGTGCAGAATCTATGAATTCACAGCCGAAAAAATGCTATTCATTTCACACGGCTTTTGACGAAGGAAATTAAAATCTTAGCTCAATTTCCTGCGGCTATTTTGAGATTGATGCGGAAAAAAAATTAAAAGTGTAAAATGTCATCGGTTTGTTGTTCTTTAATTTGCCATTTTTGTGATTCTTCAATTTAGGATTTGGTTGTGTGGCTTCAATTGAATATATGCATTTGGTTTGCGGGCAATTCAGTGAAACATTCGCAAAAAAATGCTTCCTGAAACACTTTATTGATTAGATTGCTGTGAAAAGTGGTTGTGTTCAGTGAATGCTTTGAAATTATTGACTTGTTTTCATGTTTCAGTTCATTGAGCAATTGTAAAAAAAAACATGCAAAGACCTTTAATGAACAACCATAAACCTTTCAGCGAAGAAAAAACACCGTTATAAATCGAAGAAATCCAACTTGATTATTCCATCATTGGGTTGCAATATTATCCCCGAGCTTCTCTCTTTCGTTGATAATTTCTGTAGCAAAAATAAAGTTGTGAATTCTGAGCATTTTTTTCCTTTGAATTTCGTTTCGGCGCTTGCAAAATCACATGATTTACAAAATACTCTATTGCTCTAATCGAGTTGTTTGGCGGAAGGAAAAAAAAACGGCCGATCTTACCGGCACGGCCAAATAAAACTCTATCGACCGATCGAAATTCATATTTTGACTTAATCGCTGAACATGAAATGACCGAAAAGAAGGAAAAAAAATCACTGGATAGCAGAGAAATATGGAAACAATGAGATTATAAGAATAAAAAACGGTGGATAGCAGCAATATTGTCACGATTAAAAATCGATAGTCATCTGATAACGAGCCTAATGGTAATGTCATACATAGGCGCATTGACAACATTATTACTGCCGTCGATTTTTCGTTTGCTGTATTCCATTCGGTCGCGTTCAATGTTTTTAGCACTACATGGAATGTAGGCTCTTTTTTTTTCCCAAGAAAATTTTAAGAGTCTTTAGGCCATTTTTTGGACCGTGAATTAATTCATTTTAATATCCATATTTTTTATTTCAAAATTACGCCTAATTGCAAAAATGAAATAAAATCATGTTCTTGTAATTCACTTTTGAGATAACTCAAAAAAAAATTTACACTTTTTTCTTTACCAATGTGAAATAATGAACGATAATCATTCACATTGAATGTATACAAAACACATAAGTGAAAAATACAATAACATCATATAAATTTATTTAATTATTTTTGACAATATTAAAATTATTTGCATATAAAAAGTATACCACGATTAAAACTACATTCCATGTAGTGCTTACGATAGTAATTTGATGAGAAACATCAAATTAATTAAACCCCTTAAATTTACAAGCTTCAAGAACGCAGAGCGGAGCAATGCGACGATCTGCGGTCTTGTTTTCCACTGCTGTTCTTCTGTGCAATGCCAAATGTTAAACGTGGCTCATTGTTTTCATAAATCGCGGTGCAACAATTTATAAAGATTTTTCTACATAAATGATTAATATATTTCTTCATTATGATGTTTTGTCTGCAGAAAATTTATTACTTAATCCATTTGTTTTGTCCACTGGATTCAGCCGCCGTAGATACAAACCCATGACTGTAACATGGCCAAACTGTGTGATATGCAGCAGCACGGTATCGCTCAGCAGAATATATATATATATATATATATCGCGGTGTGCATATATGAGCATCGATCTCGTTGCAAAACCGACAGAGACGATGTACGGTCGATGCAGAGCACTAGTCTAACATTCGATATTACAACTGAAATGTCACGAAATGTCTAACTGAAATGTCACGATTTACGAGACTTATTGTCTCATTGCTACTTGCATGCTGCTCTCGAACAATTTCGACCTACCGCAAATGTGCTCGTTCGCGGTGAAAGTACGGACCGTTCAGTTTTTTTTCTCTCTTCTTTTTGTTAATAACTCAATGAAACTTAATGAAATGAATTATGGGAAAATAATAAATACGACGTCTTTTTGTGGTCAAATGTGAATTTGGTGAATTCGATTCGAAAATTTCGGGATTAGAAATGCCGTTGTGAAATCGAATATTTCGTGCAAAATCATTGTTTCTTATTTTGAGTATCTCAACGGGATCGTGAATATTCAAATTCCTGATTTGAAAACAAATAAATATGTTTTCCAGTCGGAACAAAATGTGCCGTAATGTATTTGATTAATAACTAATAAATAAAATAAATAAATGAAAAAGAAAACATTTTTGTTCGCAACATTTTCTGTTGTGACGTTTTTACACTTGAAAGCCATTTCATCTCAAACGGGAGTCAACCACTCACGGCTCACACAGACGAACGAACAAACGAAACAGCGAAAGAGATAGCGAGAGAGCGAGCGAGTCTCGTGTGATGGATTTCGTTGCGGCCACTTGGCTCTGGTATTTATGTATGCAGAAACAACTTGCGCAAGAAACGCATATTTAAATTCTAATGATGATAGTAGTGTAGTTACTCCTCCTGGGCGGTTAACATGCGTCAACTTTTTGCTCATCCGTGGCGCTTCGCCGCCATCCACATCGCATGTTGCGCTGCTGCTGCTCGTGAGCGTGTATTCGTTTCACCTACCAATATGCCAATATGTTTTTATACTGAGAAATTTTCGCTATTACTGGCGCGCTTAACATATACACAGTTCACACAATCTGCTACACAACGCGTGTTTGTGTGCAGAAAGATGCCTGACTTCCTTCTCTTTGCACAGACCAATGCCAAATGGGTGATAAATAAAGCACATGTGCATTTTATTGTATTTCATATGAAATAAATCATTTTTGTACGCGAATACAATGCTGTAAAAGCGTATGCTTTATGCATGATATATGGGAATAAAATACAAATTCACAAACGGAATGTTCAACGTTTATTATCTCGCCACACTCACATATCGATTGCAAGACGCATTTTGTCAATTCCTCTTCGGATTTGCCAAAATAAACAAATTCCACTCGGATTGCGGTTTTTTTCTCTCGATTTAATGAGAAACACGCTTTACGACAGTACCATTTCGAAATCTATAAACCGATCAACATCTCATTTCGAATCGAACGAATAAAAAGCGGTAAGTCTTCTATTGCAAATTATGGAATAATTTTAAGCTGATAAATTCGTCTCGTCCTTTTGCCGAGGTTTTAATGTTTTTTTTGCGACAAATTCAATCCCGTTTTCTTGTCTGTTGCGCAAACACACGAAAAAGAAGTGTTAAAATGGCCATATGGTATGGAAAATACAGAAAACTCGGTAATTTTCAACTGATTATCACCAATAATAATTTCTGTGGAAACGATTTTTCGTACGTGCAAACATGTTTGCGTATGCGCTTTAATAAAACGTGTGCCATTTTTGGTCATTTGATAATAATGCTTGGCATTCATTTGAGGCGATCGGAAATCATCAAAAGAAACTGACCAAATCGTATGGCTTATTGAAAAATCAATATATTGTATGCGTGATTCTATCGATTGGCCCTGGATTTTTTTTTCTTCTCTTCATCACTTCACTGTTAGTCGTGAATTGACTGATTTCATAAGGCTCATTGCTTCAGCAGGGAAAATAAAACAACGTTGATTTCCATCAAATTAAATGTCCTTTCACCTTTCGCATTTTTTTTCCCAGCAAAATAATCACCATCATTAACGCAAAACATCGGTTCAATTAAATTAAAACAGCTCCACTCCGACTTCGGTATCATTTCGATCTCTGGGCGAGTACAATTATTGAAGCGGAATAATTTCATTTCTCTCGATTTAATTAATATTTATCGATTGAAATTCAATACAACATCGGCAGCGAAAATAAAACAACGGTGCAATCAATTAAACATTGAATCAACGGATTCGTACGAAGGAATAGCAGGTGTAACTTTCGATATGCATCAAAAGAATAGTTTTGACGAAAATTCATTTGGGAACACACACTCACACACACAAACACGCATAAAAAAACAACATGCGTTCGATTCGCCAATGGACATGGAAATATTTTGCTCCGAAATCGATGATTTTTTTTAAACTGAAAATTTTATTGTTATTACCGACAATGCGACAAAACTGTAATATATGTTTGTACTGTATGCGCCATTATTTATTGTGTGTTCGCCTGTGCACATCATGTGCACCAAGGTAGCAGCAGCAAACTGTTTGATGGCAGCGGCACAACATACAAACGCACACACACATAAACATAAATTCGTACGCGTTGGATATTGCATTTTTAATCATTGCGTGTAACGTGCAAAATTGGCCGCAATCATTCGATTTTGATGTGCAATTGTTTCAATCCTTCTTTTTTTGTGAAGTGAAATAAAACAATTTGCGATTTTTTTTCGATGGCGAATCAGTTTTAGTCCATCATTGCTATCGACGTTGTGGCATGCGATTTTCTTCGTTCGCCCGTTCAGGGAGACGACACATTGATGATGGCCGCCGCTGCCGACACTCATTGGCACATGTGTCACAATTTCAACGGGAAAAAAGTTCGATTATTTTGAATTCGCGCACGGCCAACGACGAGTCAATCAACCGAATTCTGAAACGAACCGCTCGCTGAAACATCGATAATTATTGTGCGCGACACAATTCTCTTCACGATTTTTCTCCCCAGGTCACAATTTGTACCGTGTAATTGCGACAATTGTAATATTCGCTTGAAAATTTCATCTGTTTGGAATTACTTCAGCGCTCATACACACAGGGGCATGAGCAAATGATTAAATAGTGCTTTGAATATTTGATTCAAATCCATAACGACCATTCATTTTAAAATCCAATACGCATAATTAGAGTCCTACTCGTAAGTTGCGAATGGTAAGTGAAAACAAAAAACCAGAGTGAATAAATCGCTCAATCTGAAGCGTTTGAAAATACTCATTTATTCCGCTTGTATTAGCCCGTGTATGTGCGTATGTTACGTCGTTGCACATATCATCGTTCTATCATCGCAAATTATCATCATCATCATCAGCGTCAAGTTGTTTTAGTTTTTGAAAACATCTTGTAGCGTTCATGTGGTCCCGTATACACACATTTTACCAGTGTGGTTTACGCTTCGAATGTGTGTACATAAGCGAGCACCGAGCAGAGGAATAAAAAACAGCAACTTCTATGTACACGAAAAAGGACCGAAGAAAATCAACGGCCACTTGCTAAAGCCATCCATACACACACGTATGTACTACACGAGTGTGAGCACCAGCACCAGCTTGTGTATAGGTATTTTGGTGTTTGTGCACAAACAGCGCTCTGTGAGCAGTGTGAGCTGCTTTTTGGTTGAAAAGGAGAAGAGTGGTAACAAAAGCCGTCCAATACTCGCATATACGTGCTCTGATAGCGGTGAAAAAGAGAACGAAAGAAAAACGGGCTACGAGAAAAAAAAACGTACACACAAAACACACATTCGCTGTGCATTATCTATGGTGCACGGTCATAATGAACGATTAGTCAGTGTATCGTTCGTATTCGCGAAAGATGGAAGTGCAGTTTTAGTTCGTTCATCAACCGAAAAGAAAAAACAAAAATCAAATTAACGAAAAAACTGATTTTTAACTCCCGCTCTCTTACTTCCGCCGAAGAAAAAAATCGAAACTACAGTGATCTCAAATGCATCCAAAATAAACGAATTCAAATTCGGGAATTTTGTTTTTGAACTGGGAAACGCTCGCCCAAATTTGGTGGGATTTCGTTACAAAAAAGAGTTAAATAACAAAGTTATTTCATCAGTTATTGAAAACGGTGAACATCACATCAACTTAGATGCGAATTATGGCTTGTGTTACGCAAGCACTTTCCTCGACGCATTTATCGTTCGTTCAAGTGGATCTTGGAAAATAGTTTCACTGCCGACGGCGAATCATTTCAAGCAGTTTAGTGACAGAGATTGAGTGCAGATCTGAAAGAAAAACTGATAAATTTTTAAACGTTTAAAGGACAAAAAGGAAATTTTGAGTAAATAAAAAGTGTTGTTAAATAAAAGCAATCCGTATGGATCAAGGTGGTTTTAGTGCATCTCCGTGGGCTGCTATGCTCGGCCATCACGCAATTGGACCGGCCGATCCTGGCTTCAGCGTAGCACATGCTCATAATGCAGCAGCGGCAGCAGTCGTACATCATGCGCACCATGGCATGCCAATGGATTTGCATGTACAAGGCTTTCCATACTATAGGTAAGCATATAAATCCTCCTCAATTATATTTTCACAATGACAACCAATTTCCGGTTGAAATCGAAATAAATACAACTGCGAAATTGAAGGAGAGACGCAGCCTTCACACCATCGAAGCCAATATTTTGCACGTGTTTTGGCCGTTTCAATAATATGAAGCATGCGAAGCACTACTTTGTAAATTGAAGTAAATAAAAACACTGTCTCATACCCAGTGACACATTTCTAACGGACACCAGCAAAAAAATCAAGTTTTAATGGTGTTATTTGTGCGAAGACACATGTTAGACAACCATCGCTCCACAAAAACCAAAAAAAAAACAGTCAACATCATTGCAATTAGCCTGCACTTTGACATCCACGAGCACCTTTGTTGTTATTTTCACAGAAACACAAAACCATTCAAACAACTCGTTTTGAACGCCTGGGAATTTGATTTCTGGTGGCTATTTACTCCTTGGCTACTTAAACCTAACAGAATAATGAGTAATCAAAGATATATTTGTGCAAAATTAAAATAAACATTATGTCTAATAAAGTGTGCTTTGGGTTCATAAACATGAATTTATAAAAAAAAACTCCACACATTTACCGGTTTGCTGAATTGAACTCAGTGTAAAAAGTAAGAGTTTGTATGAAATTATTCCCATGGTGTCTGTTATCACGTAAAAAGTGCCCATCCCTAGCGAAAAATTAGATCAAAATTTGAACGATATTCAAATTGTGCGTTCCCACAGCCCGAAATAGATTAAAGTTCTCTACAAATGGAACAGTTAAAATATACAGTTAGATTTGGTTGACAGCATACAAAATGTGTTCTGGTTTCTGAATTAAGAACTCCAGCGTAGAAGTTCAGCACACAAGTTCCCTTCATTTCAACATTCGACTACAAATGTAATCGAGAAAAAAAAGGCATTCTGCTACAGCCATTTTCAATTAGCTTCGTAGTTGCAGTCAATGTTGCGATGGAAAATAATTTCCTTTGGTGATGTGCATCATTTTACTTTGTTCGGCTACGCTGTGTGGAAAAAGCTTCACCAATCAATAAATTTCAATAATAATTTTCAATTTTATTTATAATGGCACCTGTTCCACACCATTCGGCTTCATACGCTTCTCTATGTGTATGGCAGAGAGGGAGAGAAAGATCGAATCGGGCGCTGGGTGCTGTAATCATTCAACATTCATTTGCAATAAATAAAATTTGAGCAATTCTTGAATAATGATCGCAACGTGGAAATGAAACAGAAATGCAAAATGATTGCTGCAACGATCACATTGGTTGGCTTTAAACTGCACGAAGAGAGTATTCGCCACAACAGCAACAACAACAATAATAATAATAATATAGTAATAACCATAGCGAAATTGTTTTCGTTTGGATTTCGTTTTTCCTTGCTGAACTCATCTGTGTTGTGAGCGAAAAGCCGATCGAATCCAATGCGCCGCGCACACACACATACAGCTCGGCGAATGGAAGAAAATCGGCGCACATCACCGATCTCTGTCGATTGAATGAATCATCAAAATACTATTATTACCTCTTAAAATTATAATTTATAATCAAAATTCAATAAAACACAGTAGGAAAATCACTGCAGCGAAGAAAACGATTCCAGATCGGTCGATTGGTCGGTCGGTGGGGGCAACGCAAATTTAAATGTAGCAAATTGAATTTTTTTCCTTCTTCTTTGTGACGATCACACTTGCGTTGGCCATGATTTTCTTTTGTATTTTCAAGCTATTCGATCGAAACAATCACGCGATGACCAATATTCTCTCATTTTTCCAATCTCCGTTTTGCTCGTTCCATACACATGAACTCCCTTTTCAATTGCAACCGAACGGCAAACTGTAGCAATTTCAATTGGAAAGCAATTGCGATGAAATCATCGAACATAAAATGATTAAGCAGTGGGATTACTATTTTTTGCCGAAAAAAAAATCGGAGTTCGGAAACAGAAATTAAATTAAAATAACAGGATATGTTAAATAAATCCAGATATGAGACGATTTGTTATTCACAATAATCAAAATTATTTGTAAACTTTGATTTATTTCTACAAATTTCTGAATTTATCAGAGTTTTTGATTTAAAAAAAAAAGACAGATTTTAATTCCTTTGAACCATGTTGCTCCGTTTTGTCTCACTTTTCTGAGAAAAATGATAATCAAAAAGCATTTAGGCAATTATTTACGGAAAATTCAATTATTGTGTGCTTAAAGCTGGGCTGTTTAATTTATGTCAAACAGTCCCTTGGATTAAAAGTGTTTCAGTTGAGCAGAAATCCCAGCGAAATAGACACTTTGAAACCAGTTCCAAACGCGAAGGTACAGGGTACACACACAAAAAATGGTTATTTATCTCTTTTTGCTTGAGCATTGAACAGCCATAATATTCGGTTATTACTGATTCACACCCATAATTACAGGAAAATTGAAAATGCATTGGCTGCGTTTCACGAGTCCATATCACAACAGTCGTGCTGCGCGCAAGTATTGTGAAGAGCATAATTTATGTGTGGCTTCAATAGCGATATTATGTTGTACCATGGGGAAAAATGCAATAATTGATGCGCACAGACACAGCACTTTCGCAACTTGTATGACTATGATTAATTTTAATTTATTAACCCAAGACATTCAAATTTGTTTATTAACTTCTGATTCCACGAAGTCGTTGCTATTGGAAATTCTCCAAATTCCTAGGTGAAAATGGTAAATTTATAGAAGCATATTTGTCGACAAGTAAAACAACAAAGTTCATGACATTAAAATGTCGGTTGAAATGCGGTTGGCTTGGGATGCAGGGTAATTTGTCAAATGGAATCACATCAAAAACCTATCGATATCCATATTTGGTATAAAAAAACGTGCAACTTGCGGTTTCACTTGAGTCCAAAAGACGCGCACGCACACCCAACCGACACAAAAACGGATCACCACAGAGAAAGAGAGAGGCGAAAAAAAAGAGCGCTGGGTCCAAAATCAAACAAAACAAAGTTGTGACTCTCTGTCTAATCCATTAACTTTCATTCAGTTTGTTTTTCCTTTCCGAACTTGGGACATTTTTCCCATTCACCATTCGTTCAAGAGAGTATAGCAAAAAAAAAACAACGGACTGAGAAAAAAACCTGTGAGCTTGTGCTGTGTGCAAAAAATGACAATTCACTCTTCGAACAAGCCAGAGAGTGAGAGAGAGAAAGAGAGTAAGAAGAAGAAGCAACACTGACAAGCGCTGGAACACAGAGAAGCGAGGAAACAAATACATCATAACAGTATTAAATGGATAGAACGATTTGTATGCAGCGCACGCGATTCTAGCTGATTATATAATTTTTGAATTCATCCCGTCATATTTGTCTTTTGGATATTCTGTGGACATTGTTGTTGCTCTCTTACGCTGCTCGAACAGCACCGAAAAAAAGTGTATGGCACAAGCATCAGCAACAGCAGCATTGTACACAGTTTTTGCGTGCATGCATTTGAGAAGAGCACAAAACAGAGCAACACACAGACAGAGAAAGAAAGAGAGCGAACAAACGAGCGAAGAAAAAAAAATGTGAAGCATCTAAAAATCAACCTACAGAAGAAAAACGGTAAAAATCCATTGGAACTGTGGCATCTGCGAAAGCCGTGTGCTCCGAAAACATCGTACTTCGCATATTAATGAATGTTATCAATAAGTAATGTCTTTGAGAATGGAGATGTTTGAAGGTTGTACGAATCGCGTGTTTCGTCTGTGTGCCGAATGTGCGCGAGTGTATGACGCGAATGAGCAAATCGCAGAGCAAACGGAAAAAAAACCAACGAAAAGAAAAAAAATCTCCGTTTTTCGCATATAGTCTCGCTGGCTGTTTATCGCACGGTTCATTATGCATTCGTCAAAGGCGGTTTCGTAGGCGGCTTAGTTTGTTTTAAGCCGAACCAGTTCTGTTTTCGATTATTCATTCGCTTCTTTCTCGCATTGATTGGTGTGAGAACAACAGGCGCATCATATTGTGTCCATATTTTATTTCGTTTTTTTCGCATTGCATGCTTTTTTCTGTGTCCTCTTGGACAAAAGACCGTCCAGAACTTGGATCTGCGACAGGTGAATCGTCGCCAAAAAAATGATCCAAAGACAAGTGAGGAAAAACTAATGAAATGAATAATGCAATGCGTAGACAGTTAAACGACTTCACTTCATCTGACTCATGTGCAGCTTATGAAATATGGTGTAAGCCATAATAAGTTCCCAAATGTTTCTCATGATGAGACATTATAATACGTCGAATTAACTTCGACAAAATTTTACTCCTGACCGATGATGAGATAAAAAATACCGCTTTTCGATTAAAGTTTTGAGCAAAAACAAAATCGTTGCTGGTTTCTCTGCCTTCTGCCCGCCTGATCGATAAATGATTGGAAAGGCAACACAAGAAATTACATTCCAGTATCTCCAAATGATCTCTTTTCCATCAATTCGTGCGTTTTTCTTTGTGGCTTTTTGTTGTTCGTTACAATCGTACAAAATGCACACAAAATCAGTATTTTGTGTTTTGATTGAAAAAACACGGAAAACAAAACGAAAAGAAATCAGAAACAATGCTGTGTTGTGTTGTTGTTGCTATTGTTTTCTTCATTTCGGCACGCAAGCTGATTGAATTCCGCAAGGTCGATGATTTTTGGGCAATTTGTTGTGGCCCATCCATCATCAGGAATCACATCAATTGTGCATCAGCACCAATATTGAACGGACAATTCGAATTAAGCGGCTTCGCGAGATTGATTTTTTTTTTTTCAGAAACAAAAAGTTGCCACAAAAAATCGTTGCAGAGAAAATGCGTTAGTTTGAACAATTGAACAAGAAAAACGGATCCTTTGGTTGAATTGAAATGGGTTTTAAATTAATGTAAAAATGCTTTGTAAAATTGCTAGAAATGTTTATTGAAGCAACTTCTGCTAATTGATTCCCTTTTTATTGAGCCACGACGCATCATTTGCGAACAAGAAACAATCTCGAATCGATCATTTGAAATTCCTGTTCGCATCATCACGGCCAATGTCTTTTTTCGTCGCTTTCACAAGCTTGACCGATGCAGTTTCTGTTCCTGAGCAGCAAAAGATCGCAGAGAAAAAACAGCCTTCCACGGGAATGAGCATAACATTTTATCACCGTCATTTTAGTCAGACGACGGGAACGTGATATAAACGACGTGCGTTATCATTAATTTTATTGTCTTGATTGTTATCGCTATTATTAATAATTCGCACAAACCGCACCAATAATTAACCATAAATTTTTATGTTTATTTCAACACTTTAATCGCAATGAATTGCTTCTTTCGATTAAAACGCTTCTTCATAAATTTGCTGCCAATGCTGATGCTGCAGTGCGTTTTTTTTTCTGCTTTGCTCGCTCTCATCTCATTTTGTGAAGCCGATCAATTGGAAGTCTTTCGCTCGTTATTGAAATGTGCACGCAAACGTATGTCAACTGTTTGTTGTCTGCACGCATTTTTTGCATCGCACGCTACTGCTGCTGCAGCAAAAAGGACGTGCACTTATATGTAGTCACAAGTCGCATACCATCGCAATATTTATAAGGAAGTACAAAAGTTTGAAATCCAATAAAATACGCTCGCTATTTTCGCTTTTATTCTGATATTCTGTGTCGTTTTTCTCTCTATCTATCTCACTCTCACACACTCGCTCTTCTCGTTTTGTCATTCCTTTGGTTTTCTGCGATTTTTTTCCCTTTCGCCCGGTTTTGTTTGTGCATTACTTCGTTCGTGTGTGAACCGAAAACCTTCGCAATTGACGATCTCTCTGGAAAAAAATCTTTCTCCCTCTCGCTCTCTCTCATAATAAGGTAAGGTGCCTTCGTTTCGAAGAGCGTAAGTACTTACCGGTTTATGTTTTTGATATTTCTGCAATTCTAAATGGCACATACAATTGCGCCACTTTACTGTCTTTTTCACACACACACACAAACACACATACACGCGAATACAACGACGACGACACCACGTACCAAACGGAATGAATGCCTTTGTAATACCTTTTTAATATTGTTCGTCCCGATAAATAGAGATTCGTGATATTTTGCAGTTCGACAAGAATCAGAACCATCGAAACGAGAGCAAAAAACAACCATCAGAATCCAGCCCGATAACAGCACAGAAACGGTTTGCAAGACAATCACCGACGGAGAACAGATGAGAACGTAGCGAGAGAGTTGAGCCAAGCTAAAGAGATGAGAGAAAAAAAAGCCGTCATTCGGAACATTGTCGCACAACCAGAATCACTTCAGCCGCGGCCACCAAATTAAATGATAAAGAAAAGATGGGAAAAAAAACTTACGCACAAATGAAGAAACACAACAGAGAGAGAATGTGGAGAGAAAAAAAGCATATTTATGCTTATGTATACGTTCGAGTGTATTTCTGCTGTCGATTAGGGAAAAAACACTGTGCGCGCAGTGAAAAAGAAAATATTTATAAAATTATAGTCGATCGAAATATAATCAATCGTTTCTTGCTTCGATATGTCCGATGCACACTTGCATTCTCTTCTCCGGTACAGAATCCGTTCGCTTCTCTCTCTCTCTCTCTTTCGTCCTCTCACTCAGTTCCGCACACGACGATCTGCCTCACACTCCTGCCGCAGCAGCATCACCACTCGCCATCGAATAAAACAACAACTACAACAGTCAACGATTTTGTTCGATTAAATTTATTTATTTATTTTTATTTTCGACGACTGCACGATACACAACACACATATTCCTCTTTGCTTGCCGCGCAAGCGCGCCTTCTTTTTGTTTTCTGATTTAATTTTCTTTTCTCGCATATTTGCTAATAATTATGACTGGTGAAATGATTACTTTATACAACCATAAAAGGACAAAAGGTATTTGTGTACAGTGATGTTGTAATTGTGCGCAGTTAACCGCGTTTATTGCATCGCATTCGATCTTGTTCACTTTGCCATCATCGCATCGGAGCGGATTGGATTGTGTCGTGGTCATCGTCATCGTTATTATTTGTGCTACTATTGCAGTTATTTAATGCAATTCTTTTAGTTTTTTATTTTCTCCGGCTGTCATTGCGAACATTTCGTTTTCCCTTTGTATTGTCTGTGTGCACGGTGTCGTTAGAGTTTGTGTTTGATTTGTGTGCTAGCAAATTCAATGGCATCAATCGGCCGACAAATTTCTTATAATGTTCCAATTCCAACAACATAACCGATGTTCGACGATGTGTAGCTGGTAATTCTGCGCGTGTTATTCCATCGCATTCTCAATGTGTTCGAGCGACCGAGCAAAACATATCCTTAGATTGTTCCTTCCTCACACCCATTCCAATATCGAGCTAATAATCCGAACACGAATTGTATTGAACATTAATTTTTATGAGGATTTGGAGCAAGAAAAAATTGCACAAGATAATTGAATCTGCTCCAAATGGATGATAACGATTAATAATGATGCCATAAATACAGTAATATTGCGATCGATCAGCTAAATTTGATTACACATCGATCGAGTCTATGATTAATGAAGCGTTTCAATAGACTTTCGCCGGCACACGGCAAAAATGTTGCGAAAAAATTGAGTGGATCCAATTAAGCAATTGTGATGATGTTGGCTCGACAACTGCCATCGTCACTGCTTCGCTTCATAAATTTTCAAATTTTAATCGAACGAAATTATAGAGACTTTTTGTAAATGGCCTTCTTTGTGGCCGATGAACTGTTCGATATCTCATCAGTCGACGTTCGCTCAATTATTGTTATTTGATCAGCGTACAAAATTTTGAGTATTTTTTCCCTTCATTTTTGGCTGCAACCAAAATACCATGATACTTTTTATTACACCATTCTTTCTGGAGGATGCGTGAAACGGTGTTTTGGTTTATTTTTGTGCGAAACGATGTTGATTTTGAAACGAGAACCGAACGAAAACCAAACCGAAAGAGAAGGAACCAAAAATCGGAAGTAAATTACAGGATCTCGCATCAAAATCGTTTGGACTATATATTTTTGATTCGTGATTTGTGATTTTGGGCTCTTTAAATTGACGGTCAACCAAATAATAATACTGTGTTAAACTACGAAACGCCATTCGAAGTATTGTGTTTGTGCGCTTACTAATCGAAACCTTTTTTGATAATTTACAGATATCGAGACGATGCATTGTGCTGGACCGACAGGTTGGATCATTTTTTTCTTTCATTCTTCATCCTTCATTGATGCTTAAATAAAAATGAGTTTGATAATAAATCATCGATCGAACCGAATAAATTGGTTAAAAGGAAATTTCAAAATCTTCGCTTTGTCCCGTTTAATTATTACGTGTATGCATTTTATGTACTTACAAAAAGATCGTGTCCGAGCGTATTAATAATTAAAAGCTGTTGCTAATTCCATGTTATCGATCACTTTTGTTAATTTCATCAAATTATTTAAATGCTAATAATTTCCGTCGAATTGAAGAGTTCTGCTTAAGAATCAGCCACAAGTTGACTGACTCATTGGATCCTGACTCATTGGATCCTTCGAATTCTGTGCAATCCTTTGTACAATCTTATCGAAAATTTACCATCAATTAAATAATATTTGTGTGCTGTTTTGCGAACTTCACCACGTCAAATATCTCAAACATTTGCAATTTAAAGAATAACTTTCGTTTGAAATGTTTGATATGAACCATCAGATGAAGGGAAAAAAGTGTGAGAGTATTGCACGGACGAGGTTTCGCATATGTTGGCAAGACTCGTTGTTCTTCTCCCCAAACCAATACGTTTTTTGTCGATGTTGTTGTTGATGAAAATCGTTTGATTCGACAAGTGAAGCAGTGGCAGCAACGGGCATAATGCATGTACAGTACACGTTGAGTACGTAAAGTAAACATCAATTTTTAAATTGATCCAATTAAAGTTAAACGCAGCAAGCGATCGAGAGAGGCACTGATCAGTGGTCACATTTCTTCGGTCAACTTAATTTGCACACAATGTTACGATTTGGATGCTTGATTTTTTTTTTCCATTCGCATTGCGCTCTGCCTCTTTCTTTGCCACTTCGCATTCAATGCATTTTTGTTGATCGAACCGTGTTACTTTTGTGATTTTTTTCCCTGTTGGTCGTGTAGTACCTACCACAACAAAAACAAGATGCCAATGCATTCCACCGTCGAGCAAAGGAATAGAATGAGAAAAGCAGCCGTCAGCAGCCCAAAACACACATATCGATCCGTTGGCAAAATTTCCGTAGAATATTGATCTGTGTCCAACTCTTCAACAACATCAAACCACAATAACAACAACAAAAATCTGTTATTTTCACGTATCTCGCAATCATTGTTGCTTCTGTCATATACTTTCTTCCTCTGCACAAATAATTGAAGTAAAACCAAACATTTTTTCCCTTCTTCTTCCTCTACTTCTTTTTCTTGTGTTTTTTCATTTTCTCAATTGTGTAAACAGAGAAAAAAACACACAGAGTTCATCGTAACGAAATCTGTTACAGAAAAAAAATGAGCCTGGACGAAATTAAATCAGCCACATTTTCGATGTGTATCATCGTAAACGACCAATTACATTTAATCATATAATCCCGCATTGAATGATGCATCACTTGGGAAAAATAGCCATCAAATCTTGACATTTCATCATTTTTATTGGTAAATTTATATCGTGAAACAAATGACCTTAAATTAATCGCTGATAACAAATCACAACTGATTTCACGGTTTCTTTCATCGAAAATCTGATAGCCTGCCTCTTCTCGCGAATCGGCAAGACAGGCACAGTGGAGTCGTGAGCGAATGAGCGACTATGCGCGTAAATACAGCTCATCATTTTGACATCAATCAAGAGATATCGATCTTTGTCTTCAATTAAGTCTAGTGAAACTTATTAATTCAACCGGTTCGTTGGATGACAAGTATGCACCGACAACCGAAGTCACTGATATACACGATCAATGGAGCGAAAGAGTGCGCGCGCTGCCAATTCATTTGAACAGCCGAGCTGCAACCGCATTCATTGCAAATCGAATTAGCAATAATAGTATACCAAATACCTTACAAAAAATGCAATGGTTTCTTTTCGTTCGTTCTTTGCAGAAAAATGGAAGAGATTGGAAACCCACCGTCAGTGAACGCTCGGTAAGTAATCTTTAGTAGATTATGTTTCTTGTTTCCACGAAGGATTGACGATGATGACGACGGCGCAAAACAACACAAAACATTCGTCAACCTGCTGCTGTGCTAATTAACATTGTGTCATACAAATGCAAACAATAGGGTGGACTGAATTTTGATGTGATTTTTCGGCTTCAAGCAGTGAGAAGCGGCCATTTAGCCTATGAAACTGGCATGATCTCAAGTGTGTTCAGTTGTAAAAAATCAAAAATTATTCAATTGAAATGAATTTAACACGCTCCTATGGATCTTTGACTATTGGTTGTGACACAGTTTAACCCGAGTGTCATCGCCACTATTGTGTCTGTCTGACTTTTGCCAGCCGACTCCCTTTTGACAGCACAAAATTGTGTAAATGATGTATGGCAACCGCTGTATCATCATCCACACTGCACATCAAACGGCACGACCGGCTGCGAAGTGTCACTAAATCATTCCACTTCGTCGCTCTTCGTGATTCCCATTTCACAAATTCGTTGCAACCGCACAGCACCAGAATGTCTCTCATACACACGCGTATAAATAAAATTGTCAGAAGAACAAACAAAATAATTAAAATAATAATCGCACACATTTATTCAAATCAACTGGAATAGAAGGACGGGTTAAAAGGAATTCAGTTGTTAATCTCGTCTCTTTTGTTGCATTTCCACAAAATTCTGAATGAATGTTAATGCAATTGAAAATCCATGTTTTTGCTTGGGCTTTTTTTTTCAAAACACTTTTCATTTTCTCCATCGTCGTCATGAAACGCGTCGACGAATCGGCTGGCAAGCGAGTGAATATTGTGAGTGTGCATCAGTAAATCCAATTTATGTACACACACGCTATCGTGTATTGTGGCGAATTAACACCTTTTTGTCGGCTACCGAAATACTCACTTACATCTTGCTTACGGCCGGAATTAGTATGTGCTCGCATATTATATTTGTTGGTTGTACGAGCCACCGCGCACTATACACAAGTGCAAACAACAGGCCGGGTCATTTGACTTTACACTTTGTTCGTATGAAAATGCCTGCCGAACCGATCAACTTATATTCTTTTATTCATTTTCGTTCGCTGTGCGTTTTTCATGCGGCCAAACGATAAATCGAAACCGTTTCGAAATTCAGTGGGCCGATCAGAGTGAACGTCTTTTACCGCTGGCTGTTGTTGCTGTTACATTTGCTGTGGAAATGGTAACGATGGCAAATAATTAATTTGCATATTAAATCGAAGAAACTCGTAGTCCTAAAATGCGGTAAAGTCTCTTCAAGCCCATTTCAAATGTGCATTTTTCTCAATGGCCTGAATATGCGGAATATGTTGATTTCTTATTAAATCAAGCTGAACTGACTTCAATGCCTGATAATGGACAACATTTCATTTCGTCGGAATTTTCTTAAAAGCACCAAACAATCGTAGATCATTTTGACTAGGAAAAATTTCCGCACACAATCAATGATCGGCAACGGTGGTAGCAACAGCAGCCAGATTGCGTTAAAAGCCATTTAATGCTATGTTTCACCGATTTTATTTATTGCATATTGCTTTTCTTTTGAACCAAAAGCGCAGCAGAAAAAAAACACACACACACAACTGTAGATTTCAAAGATAAAGCAAAGAAGGGCATTGAATATGCAAATTGGATCAATTAAATTTATGTGTTGTCATTTCAACCGCGAACGGATTGCAGAATTGCTACGGCCACATTAAATGAAATAAAAATTAACGATGTTTGACCTGACACCATCCCAATACACTCACTCATTCTCTCAAATTATGTTTCTTCTCATTTAACATTTGCTCGAGTGCTGTTCCTTGGCGCACAGAAGAAATCCCGAAAATTAGATACACGAAATAAACGAAGCAAAAACAAAAGGGTATTGTACATATCGCATACTAACGATTCGCACCGAATGATGACGTGAACGATGAAACTCCTTCGATGAAAATGACTTTTAGCTAGGGAAAAAAGTGTCGCTCTTATTTGTTCTAATTAGTGGCTATTTTATTCACTTCACCGGAAGGGAAAAAATCGGAGATTAAAGCACGATTCTCGGTTGTAAAAATGCAATTTGTTTATACATGAAAAGTCCAATTCCGTTCACCTTGGATGAATAAAAAGTCGATCAATTAACCGCGCTACTCTTTTTAGTGTATTAGAACACGCATTTTTTCCGACGTCAGTCAATAAAATTTCATTGCTTTAATTGCACACTAGAGTGAAATTCTTTCATTTTTTTACATAAACCCTTTCTTTAGACAAAATTCAAACGAAATTCATGAGTAGAATTCTTTAAGAGTACAAAAATCGTCTTTTTATGCTTTAAATTGCGGGGACAATTAAGCAGGGAGTCCAAATGAAATTCAATAATTCACATTGTTGTAGTCATGAAACATACGATTGCGTCGAGTAATTTGAAGGCAACGATTGAAACAAATTTTTAATGGAATTTTTTTTTGTGCAGCACACTGTGTGCTTGAGTACGTGCACCGACCCTATTTCAAGGGATTTTTTCCACTCACAATTTCTGGTATTTAAGACACTATTTCAAACGCAATGGCGCAATTTGATTCCAATTCCTTTCATGGAGTAATAATAACACGTGCAAAGACGGCGCAGAAGAGAATAAAAAAAATAAACTCGCGTTACCTGGTCTGAAAAGCGCCCAAAGTTATGCTATTCGCATGCACCTGAGCGTGAGCATGAAATTAGAAAGAGGCAATCACAAACAAATAGAAAAAATTGAAGAGAAAAAAATGACGGAATCAACTGGCAAATTTCAAGTGAAAAGCATGAAACACGGCTTGATCGTATCAATTACATAATAATTTGTGCGTTTTGAATTTGCAGAAAATTTTTAATTAAAAACTCCATGCTTGTCTGCAAACAAATCGAAACTCGTGTTTCCTCCCAAACAAGCACAGAAACAAACAGCAGCAGCAAAAAGCAGACACATTGCATGCATCTCTCAACAAACTCGCGGCACATATGTGCGCACAATGCGAACGCTAGACGCCCAACATTTATCGATAATAACAATTATATTTGTTAAGCAGTGCATTACTAATTGAAAAAGTCTCGACATTTTTGCGTAGTTGGCGTTTTTTGCACCAAAATTCAGTGTTTGTTTTTCGCTTTGGCTTTTTTATGCATCGTTCAAAATGAACTCTTTCATTTTGTTTGTGGCTCTTTTTTGTGTTCGTCATTCGTTCTGCGAGAAATTCACACATGATCGAGAAAGAGAGAGAGACGACGCAGCAAGCAGAAAAAAGTGTGCGCCCCACTGAATTGATGTGAAAAGAGTGAGAAATTGCCTTAATATATTTAATTGGCCATTTATCGTACACTCGTTTTACTTCATACTTAGCATGTAAACAACTTCTCAGCCGCATACTTTCTCACATGCTAAACGGCTACGGCGGCGAACAAAAAAAACCGAACCGAACCCAGCCGAACAACACCGTTTTACATAGCGTACACCAGAGAAGAAACAACAAAAAAAAATTAAACGTACATACATATATATGTAAGCACGCTATTTGTACAAACCTTGCGCATTTTATCGACGGCAGCTGAAAAATACTAAATTGATTCTTCGGCTGTTGCTGTTGTTTTTTGATTGTACAACGATCATCAGCCACGCCTTTCGTGTTCGCTCATCATATTTCTATTGACGTGTTCATCACTGGCGTATGCAAAAGAGTTTGCTGAAGATGGGCATTTCTTTCGATCGAGGATATTTCCATTTTTTTTTTCACGGTGCGTTTCAAGAATTATTCATGAATATTTCAGATCTATTTCGGTGTTGTGCGCCACATGTTTTATTTATTCAAATTTGACAGAGAAAAGAAATCAAATTTTGATTTATTATAAAACAAAAAAAAATGTTCATAGCAACAGCAGAGAAGAGCATGGGTAGATTTTGAATTAATCCGAGAAGTCAAAGAACCCATGATGCCACCACTCAAGATTTGGGCAAATGTGGCTAATTTTCAAGCATTAATCATGCAATTAGGAATAAAGATAAAAAATCGTTCGACAAGCCGCAAAGTGTTCCATTTCCTATCTGATTTACAAAAAAAACTTCTTCCGAACCAACAACAATGCCGAAAACAATTGTGGTACTTGCATTGATTCGTATGTGTCTAATGTTATTTTTACGTTCGACACAATTTGCTCATTTGCACCGGGAAAATCGTGTTAGTCTCTAATCCAGCGTGAAGAACCTGAACCCGGATACTAGCTGCAGTTGCTAGGGTAGACTCTATATTTTTTTATTGTAGCATACAAATGCCAACCTGAATCATAAAAATGTTGTTGAAATACTTTTTTTCCGTCTTTATTTTGGCTTTGATGTGTAAATTCAGCTTTAACATTCGACAATAAAAATGCAACCCCTCGACGTGTTTTTCTATTCACACTTCCACATTGGTACATTTCGGAGACACTTTAGTGCGTTGACGAGACCAAGGTCAAAATTGGATTATTGCAAAAGAACATTTGAGCGAAAGTAAGCAGGGATTTTGCGCGGTGATTGAGAAGAAACCTTGGTGTTTTGTGGTTGGCGAAAAAATCGCAAAATAAACAAAAAAAGAATATTTGCGAAAAACAGAATGGTAATGGATAAATAAACAAAAACCGATTTTATTTGCGTCGAAAATAAATATTCTGATTTCATTTACTTTGCACATTCATGAGTGTGTATCATTCGGTGGAGATTTATGTATTGAGTTGAGTTGGTTTTGGGGTGGAATAAATATCGATGGTAGATTTTCGTTCTCCGCGATTTTTTGTCTGAAGCTCATTTGGCTCGTGCGAGTCACATTTTCATCGGTCGTGAAACTCAAACAAGTCTACGACCTCGGAACTGTCTTAGAAGTGGTAGCAAAAGCAAATATTGCCAAAAACTAAATCTGACTCGGTATATTGGAACGATGTGTATTCAAAGCACAATAGTTTATTAAGCGAACAGAGA